CGCCATCCTTGACCATCCTTGTTCTTTTACGGTTTATTATTATCTCTTTGATGTTTTTCTATCTTAGTAAACTATTATTTTCAGGTTTCCTTCCATTTAAAGGAGATTTTGTACGTGGCCAAACAAAAGACAAAACACCGTGACTGGGCTTCTGTAAGCTCCTTAATATTTTGGGTGAAGCCCTAAACTTTCATAGACGGTAGGTTTGACTCGAATAGCTGTTATTGCAGTTGAGTCTGCGGTCAAATATTCTTTTGTTTTAAAAGGCGTGCAAACGAGGCGAAAGGGTCAATACAATGCAGAATTGACCCTTTCCCCTCGTTTGTATGTCGAGCCGCTGATAACTACAATAACAGCTATTGTTCACGACCTGACGTATGTTTCTAACCAATATCTTTCTTGAAAGAGCCAAAATAATTTCCGTTGAATCATTGATATATAGTTTCCAGAAAGTTTTCGAGGCCAGCAAGATAATGCAAAAGAGTTTAGTCGTTTCCTTGGGTTTTTGCTCGTGATAGAGAGGGCAATATACAACGCTAATAATTTACCACAAAGGCGGAAAAAAGGATTTTATTTAGTACCAGCAAAAACAGAAGGGTTTTCTCTGCAAACAGCTGATCCATTTAGTAACCGAACGTTTTGCATTTTTTTTTTTTAGTTTTGTAATTTTAATGTTGCGTCCTGCAAATGGGCTACTCTACGTTATTGTATTTATTTTAATATTTACTAACCTTTGGAAAATCTTCCCGAACGCACTCAGTTCCTGTGGTCCACATCGGAATATTGACTTTCCTCTCATATGCGCCGTTTGAAACAGTTCGATAGGCAATCCACTGCAAAGACACAGTCCTGGATCCAGCGATCGCTCCGGAGGTGGCAACACATCCTTGAAAACTGTATATTGCAAAAAGCTATTTAGTACTCCGCGAAATTCCGGCTAACACAGGTTTTTTTAACGATCACATTTTGTTCGTACAAACTTTTGTCTTAAAACTGCTTGAAACTTAATAATTAGTGAAACCCTGTAGATTTTCGAGTATACGAGATGTTGCTTTGATTTTCAGCAATAACTGCTGACTCTAGATCTCTGGGTGGAAAAAGCCCCAAGGAGACCATACTCAGTTCGAGTTCTAACCCACGCCACTCAAATGGTGCCTAATACATCTGACCCTGGTTGTTCGAAAAGTAAATAGGGAGTTTAAAAAACCACGTCGGCTACGCCGAGGACAACGTTGATTAAAAAAGGAATTTATATTTTATCTATGAATCTCGCGGTACTCTAAAGTCACTCTCTATGTTCATTACAGTCAAAACTATCACAAAAGTAAAACTAAAACACAGCGGTAAATTTGAAATATAAACTTGAAAAATTAGCCGTTGTGGATCACGTTCTTTAGACAACGCATAATTTGGTCATTTCACGTTGTTTTGCCGAGGACGGCAAAGAAATTTACCAGGATTATTATAACGCACGTGCACAGCCATTGTTCTCCTCGTTAAACATTTTGTTCAGCGACGTTACCTTTGCCTTTGTCGTCGTGATTTTCTCACTCCCTAATAGCGCTATATCCACTGGCTAAGTCACTATCCATTTAATAGCATGGTTTGTTTTGTCAATAACCAGTGGACAGCGATTTATCCGGTGGATAGCATTATCCACCTTTCGAACACTTGGGTACTGGTTTAAGTTCCCAGGCCACGGGTAATCGTGCCACGCCCTTTCAATAATCAGAGCTGATATTTTTGTCGCTAAATCAGAGAATAATGCCCCGTCCACACTACACCGGAGAAAATTGACAACGTAGCTTTATTTCTCTGGACAGGCCTTCCGTCCACACTAATCCGTCACGAAAACGCTCTTCACACCGGAGGAATTTGAGAACGCCTGCTTTATTTGCGTTTTAGTCTGGACAGAAAACATTTTGAAAACGATTCGTTTCCAAAACGATCACAGTTAGAAATCGTGACATTTCCCTCCCAGAGTTATACTGAAACACAAATCCTAAATGACCGGTGATATTGTTGCGTTTTCAAATTTCTCCGGCGTAGTTTGGACAGAAAACATTTGATGCGTTATCTGCAGAGTGAAACGTCCGTTTTCAAACTCCCCCGCCGTAGAGTGGACGGGGCTCATGCATATATTTTAAACAATCATTTCTTGTAATTCATTTGATTTTCTTACCCTGATCTCGAGCCACTCCCTATCCAGGTTACAGCTGCCTCGTATTTCTTAGATGTAACAGCCAACTGCACGCGAACGTCGTCAGAGGAGAACTCTGGGTCAAAGGGAAATATTTTGCAGTCATAGTTTTTACCTTGTAGGACATGTATGTCTCCAGATCCAAATAGCATTCCATTTGAGCCTGACAAAGAAAAAACAAGAGAGGAAAAATGTACCATGGTATAAAACTATCAGAACACAACTGAACCTAACCGACGGCAACATAACTCAAGTAAAGGTGGCCAGACGCCACATT